GCTATTGGGTTGGAGGCCATCACTACTAGGTGGAGGCCATCGCTATTAGGTTGGAGGCCCTCTCCATTAGGTTGGAGGCCATCGCCACCAGGTTGGAGGCCATCGCTACTAGGTGGAGGCCATCGCTACTAAGGTGGAGGCCATCGCTGCTAGGTAGAGGCCATCGCTATTAGGTTGGAGGTCATCGCTATCGGGCTGGAGGCCATCGCTAATTAGGTTCGAGGCAAGGTCCCGTGACGCTCCGGTTGAGGCGGAGACTGGTTGAGGCCAAGGTACTCAAACACAGCGGACATGACGATAGCCAGGTCGAAACAATTCCAAGCCCATCCGGACGAGCAAAAGAAATCCCTGGCACCAAAGGCTAGCAGCTTGAGACAGACTTCGGCGAGGAAGAGCAGGGTGTAGGTAATCTGAATGACAAAAAGCTCCGTGGGAAGCGTGAAGGTCCGCTCTTGCGCCTCCCACTCGATGCTCAAACCAATGAATAAGCTATTTGTCGCGATCACGACGGCAAAGAAGGCCTCGAATTGCCATGAGGACACCGCCTGAAGAGGGACCGGTGCACGAGAAGGACCGGTGTCATCCAGGATTGTGCCGGCCCAGTGAAACGATGGAAGGTCCAAATCAAACACACATCTGAGGACAGATGCAGAAATCTTGATACTATGCAGCCCTTTGGGGGGAACCAAACCATGCTGGGCTCCGAAATGGTCGCTCGGGTTGTCCTCGAGAGAAGTGGCGCGCCTTTTCAAGAAGTCGCCAACGCCGTTCGCAGAGTCGTGGCTCGGCCTCCGAGGCAGCCACCGAGGGTGCAGCAAAGGAGGGCACACTCACCTGAGGGCGCCACGGAGCGGGTCAAGTGGAAAGAGTCTGCACACATTCCAAGACAACGGAAGTGCGTTCGCTTCAAACTGCTGTTTTTGGGGCACCCATCACTGAACCACCTGTCCTTTCCACTGTGTCCTCACCTTGAAACCTCCGTCCCAACTGTCCGTGGGGAGGTAACTCCACACCCACCTGCTTGGCCACGTGATAGCCCGATCGCTCCATGCTACTGACGCGGCTGGGGGAAATCAAGGCCACCTGACGGCGGCGTTCACGCGAGCCGAGGCGAGCAACGAGGCGAGGTGTGACCCAAAGAAGCAGAGTTCTACACCAGTCAAATTGGGATGTGGTAGGGACATCTATGGCACTCCCTCGAAAGCGAGCAAAAACACTGGCATCAGAAAGATATATAGAATTATATAGACATAAGCCGCCACCGAACTGTTTTGATTGGTGCTTAGTGCTCAGTTTGCAACATCAATCAAGATCAGATCTCTGCAGTGACTGCAGTGATTCCTCCCTTCTTTTGCCCATGTATATTCTTGGGGGGCTCCCTTGGCAGTGAACCATCAAGTGGCCCTGACAAGGATTCTCATAGGACAAAAGCTGCTTGGGTCTTGGATCCCTGGATCAGAGGACGACCATCTGCGCTCCCTGTGTGGGAGATGGTCGTCGACGAAAAAGGAGCGGGGTCGACTGATTTCATCGATGATCACATCGTCCTCACGTCGATGACGTCGATGGACTTGGACTTGTGTGAGCAGTCAGGGTCTTTCAACTTGGTGAAAGTGACGTCCATACATCCTATGCTAGCTAATAAAAGACATCCTAGACAAACCAGCTATGTCCAAACCAACCATCTCTCTCTCTCTCTCTGGTTTGGTCTCACCTGGCTGGCTGTCAAGGAGAACGGCAAGCTCTCACTGCACGTGGAGACCTTCCTCGGTTGAGAAATGGTGGAGACTAGTCCAAAATCCTGGTTGGCTCATGTGAAGCAGCATGAAGCAACTGTAAATTCAGGTCAGTTTCTCTTTCCGGCTGTCACTCCCAGCGCTGTCACGCTTCTCCCTCTCTGGCTTTTCAGCTTCCTCGTGGATCTCCGAGCTGTTCATAGCTTGATGTTCCCCCAGCCATTGCTGCATCTCTAGGACCTAGGTCGACTCTGCGTGACGGGGCCCAGGTGTCACTCCACCTCCGACTTCACTCCAAGTCGTAAAGACACGGTGAACCAAAAGCCTGAAGCATAGTAGCATAACAATCCAAGCTTTTGATGAAGCAAACACAGCTAGTTGGTGGTTTCAACTCAATCGAAAAATGTGAGTCAGTGCTTTCAATCATCCCAAGCAGTTCAATATAACAAAATCGGAAACCACCTGGAAAACCTAATTCCGCCCTCCTGACCTGCACTTCAGGGAAAGCATCTTTCGGAGAAAAAGGCATCCCCACCAAGGCGCCAATCTTCGATGATTCTTCTCCAAGATCTTTTCAAGGCCCCCGAGCAAGGCCTCGCGATAGGCCATCGCCGCGCTGGAGGTCCGCGCCATGAGCCCCTAAGCGGCCTCGCCCCAAAGAGAGCCGATCCCTTGAGCCCGGCAGATTCATGAGATGTCTGTCCGTCTGTCCGTCTGTCTCTGTCTCTGTCTCTGTCTCTGTCTCTGCTCTGTCTCTGTCTCGGTCTCTGTCTGTCTGTGCGAAGTCATCCGGTTGATGGAAGCTAGGACGATCTGTGAGACACTCCTGCGCCCTGTGAGAGTCGGGGGAGGCTCATCACTGAGCTTCTGAAGCAAGTCTGACTATTGCCGTTGCGGCTGCAGTTCATGAAGAAAGTAGCATGACGGGAGCAACGTGCCTCATAAGGAAATCCATCCACGGGAACTTGTCTTGCCATTCCTACCAATCTGTGAACTCAAAACCTATGCCCATCTGCTTCTCCTTTCGTTTAGATTGGCCTACAGAGCTTGGCCCCATTGCCCCACCCTTTACTCCGGCACCGAATCGGTACCGGTGCGGCACCTTGCGCACCACCTTGGCAATGCCCGCAGCTACTTTGCTGCTGGGCCCGCTGAACTCCATCCAGTGATAGACCTCATCCCGATTGGATGATATCGGATGCACATGAGTACTTCATACTTCAAGGATGGTGAGCTGAATGATGGTGGCCTCTCTTGGTGCTGAATGATGGTGTGGAGGAGGTTCAAGCAGCTGAGACAGCGCTAACTGCTAACTGTCTCAATTGGAATGCGCACACAAATGACTGCAGATGCTATCATAGACTCTTCAAAACGTCTCGCTATAGATCATTGGTCCCACCCCAGCGAAAGAAACTCTGCCATCCTTTCAGCCCCTGGGAACGATTGAGGCGTGAGCCGCCGTGACACCGGTGCGACGGACGCAAGTCGTGGCACGGCCACAACGACCAAGGTCGGGCCGAAGTGTGCCGCCGCATTCGACAGCCCCCCTTCGTTTGTCTCTCGCCATGGCAACGCTGTCTCCGTCAGTACAACCTGACCTTTGGGGCAAATCTAAGTCCTCCCGGCTCGAGAAAGCACCAAGAGTTGTGCAGCGGAGGCCTGCAAAGCTGAAGTTCTTCTTGCGGCTCGGGGAACATAGTACAAAAAGACCAGCCATTATAAACTGAGTTCTTCAAAAAGTCTCCAATGCAAAACATTATCGCGACATCTAGCCTAAGCCTCATGTGCAATCAGCTGATGCACCGTTCGAAACCTGTTGTTCTGCTTATCGCCTAGGACATTTTGAGTTTTGACTGGGTCTTTTGTGGTGCTTCGGCTTCATCGGAAAGTGAGATTCACTTCCCACAATACAGTGTTCCGCCGTGATGTGGTGGCAGCGTGGGGCCAAGGCCTGCAGCCCCACCTATCTCGCCCAACGAGGGTACAAAACGACGGCTGATGGCATCAAAACTTACATGAGATGAACAAGTTACAACCGTGTTTCCTTCCTCAGACTCGGAATCTCACAATAGCCATGCAGAAGCGGCTCCGTTCGCGAAGCGTCCCCGGGTTTTTTCGGTCTTTAACGAACCATGGAGCTCCTCAAACTCCCAAAAGGGCTAGAATGTTACAGCTATCCGCATCCTACCATTTTGTGGTCCACCATTGCACCATATCTTTATAGCACAACTACTGCGCAAGTGGTCTTCTCTCAAAGGGCGATCGAAATGTGTAGCAGTGTCCAAAGCCAACCGAAACTCGTTGGGGCCCTTCTTTTGTGCAGGATCTCCCAAGAACCCTTACTCAAATGCTCGCAAGCTGTGCAGGTTGTGCGTGACCCAACCATGCGCAACAGGTCAATGTGTCTTCCCTTTTTTGTGGGGGATTCGTGCGGTAAGCATTAGCCTAACAGTACATAAAGTGGCGTATCGGTTGGGTTAGTGGATTGGAAGGGCAACCAGGTGACCGCTTTCCGGAAGCAGGAGGTCTTTCGACTGGTCACACTGCCCAGCAATCTTCGATCATGTTTCTTACGTCCGCTTTGTTGATCCTTCCGCCTTCTCGATCCACTCCTTCAACTCTTCGAGGAGAACCCACCAACGGCCTCGAGGAGAACCCACCAATTCCGGAGCTCTTGAAAGTCAACAGCCGAAGCAAAAGGCCAAGGAGATTCTTTCAAAACTACTACTTGCAGTTAGGCCTGGTCGCTTCAGAAAAGGACGTGCTCACTTTGTTGCATCTCTTGCTTCTCTGTGTGCAAAAATAGTAGGAGGATAAGGATGGATAAGACCAAGAGAGAAGCAGCTCACCTGGCCCCACCCCGTCCAAACCCAGGCCTGGCGGGCTCTTTTCTTTCCTCGAGCCCTTCAAGTCACCTGCATTGTGCATCTCGCGGTTTGCCAAAAAGAACGCAAATCTCTTGAAATTGTGGCATGGAAAACCATGGCAGCATGCCCAAGCCCACCCATGGGATACCATATCAGTTTGGACTGGGGGACGATCATTTCATGAAATCCCTTGTGGGATAAAAGCACAATACGGTCCTCCTCTTTGTCGCTACTGGGCTACTGGTGGGTGTGTCCAACTTGCTAATTGACCTGCATTTATCTGTCCCAATCTGTTGGTCTAGCATGTGCATTACGTCTCTCTGTCTCTCTGTCTGTCTGTCCGTCTGTCTGTCCGTCTGTCTGTCTGTCTGTCGGTCCGTCTGTCTCTCTCTCTCTCTCTCTCTGGCTGAATTCGGAACGTGCTGAGTGCCCCTCGTCACCCAAACATCACCCGGCCTGGTATGCTTTTTGCAGATTTCATGTGTCGAAGCGGCTCGATCCCTGACATCGCCGGGCTGTAGACGCGTCGATGGAAGGTGACCAATCACGGCAAAGACATGGGTGTGTGCGTTTTACAATGGAGACCCCCAACCAATGGAGTTTTGGTATATTTTTGTTGGGAGATCTCTGCATGCGAACGTGCCACACTCATATCTTATCCCATTTTGGGTGTATTGGTGTGTTGGCTCCACTGTTCACGTTGGCTCCACATCCGCCTCTCCGTGTCCTTTCCGAACCAACTCTGCAGTCCATAAGAAGTATATAGCTTCGAAAATGCCACTGACATGGCCATCATCAACCGGTTGAAAGGGCGTCAAGAGAACTAGGATGTGGAGCCGAGCTAGCTGATCACAAGCATTTGCCCAGTTCTTCCAGCAATTCGACAGGATGAAGAGCACAAGCCTACACTCTGCCTCTGAGCAAACAGGTGCCTATCTACAGACTATAAACCAAAAGTTGGAAGAAAACACAAGTCGGCTCGGCTCTTACCAAAAAACTAGCATGCTGAGAATCGAACGCAAAAAAGACGCAAAAAAAAACGGCAAAGACTCCACCGAAGCGAAGCCGGACCGGCCCTCTCGTTCGGCGGTTGCGACCGGTCCTACATCGCGGTCGGGTGGGTCATGGCATTGGCAGTACCTCGTCACAGCGGCTGAGGGAGGGGCTGAGGCTGTTCACTGGCTTTCCCTGAGATAGGGGCTTGAGCATGCCATAGGCCATGTCGTTCCTCAGCTGCACTGAGACTTGCCAACAGCTCGCTCGACCAAGAGAGTCCAACAGCCTAACCTTCCCTTTCTGGTGATGACCCTTTGGTGGTGCAACATGGATTAGTGTGCACTTGGTGGCGCTTCTGGAGGACTCCTGCCACCCAAATCAAAGGGTCACAGCCGCGATGCCCCCATCAAATCCAGCCACGCAGCTTTCCAAAATTCTCCAGCAAGCACAGGCTCCTCGCCTGCATGACCACCAGATACCATCAGGCCCGGCTTAAAGGAGTTGGAACCCCACCAAGGCCATCTGAGCAAATGTCCCAATTAGCTCACCACTTCAAGGTGTTGATTTGCAAGTTCATAACTCCCGCCTTGTTCTTCTTGGTGTTCCACCCCTTAGCATGATGCCCGTATCGTACCTACCCAGCGGTGGGCCAACAAAAAAGTTGCCTCTCCCTTTGTGAGATTGGACATCAACTCAAAAAATGCTAGGCTATTTTGTTTCTTCCTCATCTTCTCTTCGATCTCACGAGAAGGACTGGAATTTGTGAAGATGCGCAATTCTGGGGCGTACATGGCCGCTGTTGCACTCGCAAAGCTCGCCCTCCGAGGCGCAGTAGACCCAACGAGCTTCCGAGTCCTTCCGCAGGAGCTGGTCTAACCTGAGCGGCTCAGTGATGAGAGCCATGCCCACAGCAGTTCCACAGGATGTCTTACTAACCAGTGCTCAAGTCCAGTCCAAGGACTAACCATGAAAAGTCTTACGAACATCTGCCAGGGCTCCTGGCAACTTGGCGACCCTACAAATCTGAAGGCACCTGTGCCATCGAGTGTGCCCATGCCATCGTTGGAGTTCTCAACTACTTCCATAGGGCCTGGTCCTTCAAGGCTCCGGTCCTTCAGCTCTGGAGGCTCTGCTTTTAAGCTCCCTGCCCCACATTCACCTCCTCCGTGGTATTGAAGTCCAACCACTTGGTCATTAAACCCATGGCCTCTGCCTGGCATCATCCGATGGTCCTTCAATCCACAGCAGCTGGGCGAGGATGTGACCAAATCTGTAAAGTTGTGCACTCCCAAGGTCTTCAAGAAGGATGTAGAAGAACGTAAAGAAAACTCACACACTCATAGCACTCATGGATCTTCTGCCACGGAAACCCCCACACCACCAAACCGCCGCGTGCCTCATGGAAGGTTGCAACCTGAAGTACGCGTCAACGCGCGCGTGGATTCCCTCCAAGGCTGGGACCATGCGATTCTAGGACCGTTTGGCCTCAATGGCCCCCGTGGCTCCCAGCCTATCAGGACGGAACTCGATTCCGAAGCCTTGAAGAAGTGTTAATCAAAGTAACTTCTGCGACCCACGACGAAACAACCAGAGGGAAACTTACAAAGGAGTTTAAAGCTACTGCACCTGCAGCTTGATCCATACATCACTCACTTCCCTCCTCACCCCCGACTGTCCTGACACCTTGCCTGCAGCAACCAAGCTTGAAGTGCTACCCTCATGTCTTCAACCTCTGAGAGACCCAACATGATTTGTGGCAGCGAATGTGTCGCAAAAGATTGCAAAAGCGCACTCAGAGCAAGCCGGTTCCATTACAACTTCTATATAATATCAGTTTCTGCATCTGTCAATCACGTGTCCATGGCTCAAGACCTGTCCAAGCCTGAGAACTCCTAGATTTGCCAAGAGTGTTTCTTGGAAATCCGGCCTGCTGAGCTTCGAGTAAAGGACCAGGCCTGGTGGCCGTCGGCAAGTCACAAAGTCCAAGCTGGGGCCATGTTGTTGCTTTATGTGGTGTATACAGACACTCTTGATTCAAATCCACCACATAAAGGTTTGTTTTACTAATCAAAGGTCTGGTAGAATTCACAAACTCATCCGAAGGCCGCATTGTTTCATCAACTCCTCTGGATGTTGAGTTCCCCGCACATCATTATCACCCTGAGCCTGGTGCGACGGTCGCTATGGTCAGTTTATATGGTCTCGAGGCCGGGGAAGTCTTACGCCTTTTGTTTCGAGGGACTAAGAACGACCACCTGCCTCGAATCTTCTTCCGCTTTCAAGAAATGGTGTAGACGGTCCAGTCCTTTACCAGGCTACGGGGTGTGCTACGCGGCTACGGGCAAGAAGTGGTGCCATAGTTTATGGCGCAGGCCTTCTTTTTGTGCAGGCCAATGGCTGCTAAAAGTGAATTAGTGTTCATCCCTGAATAGGTTTGTAGATGCGGTACCAGAATTGAAAATAGATCAAAACGCAATTGTTAGGCCACCCATTGTAAGACATGCTCGAGAATCAAAGCGACCTTTTGAATTGAAAATCGCGGCATCCTTCCGTTCCTTCAAAAAGGCTCTGCATTTGCTTCAAAACCCTCTCTATGAATGCTAGCATGATGCATCTACATTCTACATTATTAGGTTGCTACCAGGTCCAACACAAGCTTCTCCACGTCGAGTTTTCGACATATTTATAAAATCCGTTGCGCCCTTCTTTCTAGAGCCGCTGAGCCCCTCATGAATTGAAGCTCAAGCAGATACAACAAATACATAAAGTTGAACAAAATAAAACCCGCTCTATAAGCTCTGTCTGACGCCGATCCCAGGGTCTGTGGCGCGCCTCCGCTGCCCTGGCCAGCTCGGAGAGGGCCTGGAGGCCGGCACGCAGCTGTTCGAGTTTAGCACCGAGATCGAACTCTCCCCGGCGGTTTAGATCGAAACGTTTTGCGATCTCCAGGTTGATGGATGAAACATGATGAAACATGATCACACCCGAGTGCATTTGGATTGAAAGTGTGCTCCCTATAAGTGTGCCCAAACAAGCCCTTTTCCGCTCACCACTGTGGCTTGACCTGCGCTTGGTGCAAGCCCAATCTGCAAGGGATAGGCTAGAAGGGCACACCCACGACCCAGAAATAGAACTTGGGAAAAATAGTCATAATGTGCATTCCTGTTCAACGGGGGTAGAGGACGCTGCTAGGAGCAAAGGGCATCGCTAGTAGGAGCAGGGATGCTACTAGGGGCTCCTGGCCATACTACTATATAGAAACAAGAAGCTACTAGGGGCTCCTAGCATCGTTACTAGGAGCAAGGACGCTATTAGGGGCTCCTGGCCATACTAGGAATAAGAAGCTACTAGGGGCTCCTGGCACCGCTACTAGGAGCAAGGTACTACTAGAAACAAGAAGCTACTAGGGGCTCCCGGCATCGCTGCTAGGAGCAAGGTCGCTACTAGGGTTACTAGGGGCTCCTGGCCATACTACTAGGAACAAAAACTACTAGGGGCTCGTAGCATCGCCACTAGGAGCAAGGACGCTCCTGACCATACTACTGGGAACAAGAAGCTACTAGGGGCTCCTGGCATCGCTACTAGGAGCAAGGACGCTACTAGCGTCGCTACTAAAAGCAAGGACGCTACTAGGGGCTCCTGGCCATACTACTAGGAACAAGAAGCTGGGCATCGCTAGTAGGAGCAAGGACGCTACTAGCGGCTCCTGGCATCGCTACTAGGAGCAAGGACGCTATTAGGGGCTCCT